TTAATTATAATAAATTATATATATAATAATAATAATAATTATAATAATAATATAATATATTATATTATATATATAATATAATATACTATATAATATAATATATTATATATATAATATAATATGTTATATATATAATATAAAGTGTTATATATATAAAATAATATATGGTATTATATATAATATAATATTTCCGGCAGACGGCTAAAATGCCATAGCTGTAAGCTTTATATATATTTATTATAATTATATGTATTATAATTATTATATAACTTCGATGTAATATAATAACTTTAAAATGAAGTAAAAATAAAGCTACTACTACTACTATATAATATAATATATATAATATATATAATAATATAATATAATATAATATATATATATAATAATAATATATAATAATATAATATATATAATATAATATATAATAATATAATATACTATATAATATAATATATTATATATATAATATAATATATTATATAATATAATATAATATAATATAATATAATATAATATAATATAATATAATATAATATAATATAATATAATATAATATAATATATATTATAATATAATATATATTATAATATAATATAGAATATAATATAATATACAATATAATATAATATATCATAAATAATATATATAATATAATATATCATAAATAATATATATAATATAATATATTATAAATAATATATATAATATATCATAAATAATATATATAATTTAGTATATCATAAATAATATATATAATATAATATATCATAAATAATATATAAAATATAGTATATCATAAATAATATATATAATATATATAATATAATATAATATAATATAATATAATATAATATAATATAATATAATATAATATAATATAATATAATATAATATAATATAATATAATATGATATAAGATATGATTTCCTTTGATTTTTATAGAGAATAGTGAAATATTCTTACCAATAATAAACCTAGAAATACAGTTTCTGGGTGTGAGAATCTGGACGCAATTAAAACGAGTTCAGCAATGTTCAATACATTTTTTATAGCATATTTGTTTATTTGCTTATATTGATGACATAAAGGCTCTTGCCTTTGTTTTGTTTAGTAATAGTGGTGATCATATAGATGAAGTAGACGATGTTGATGAGTCTGATGATTGTATTGATTTTGGAGAGGATGGCGCTAATATTGGTTCAAATATATAATTAACTTCGTTATTGTGAGTAGCGGTATTAGTCTTATTATAATGCTCTGTCGTCAAACTCTTTTCTTTAGTAGGGTCTTCAAAATCCACTGTATTTATATTATATATCGTTTTATGATTTGGTACAATTGTGTACTCATAATCATCTAAATGACTACAAGTGAAATTCCTATCTTTGCGGAATTCGTATGTGGGGCAAGAAGTTTCGGGAAATCGCTGTGGAGTCGAAGGTATTGGTTGGTATGTGTAAAATTGGTTATACTCTTCCTCTTGCTGCTGTCGTTTTTGAAGTGTTTGATGGTGTAGATTTTTAAATTGTTGCTGTTGTTTTTGTTGTTGCCTGTGATTTTGAGTATTTAATCGATTTTTTAAGTTTCTTTTTAATTCACGATTTATTTTGCGTAATTGACGATATTCCTGTGTTTTATCTGCTAATACATTACTCAATGGATTCCAAAAGCGGTGTTGTATATTTTGTTGTTGTTGGTGTTGTTGTCGTTGTCGTTGCAACTGAAGCTCCTGCAAATGGAAGTGATGTCTGCAATAACCTTGGACAGAATTTAAACAGAATCTGCAGGTTTCATCGGCCAAGTATGATGTACTTGCTGAGCCACTATCGCTGGGTATTGTTGTGTAACGCTTTTTTGGACGTTTATGTCTTGACCTTTCACTATTTTGTTGTAGTAATTTACGTTGGTTAGCTGTTTTTGTTGTTTCAGCAGCTTCTTTAAGTAGGCGTGTGTTTTTTGGATTAATCCATCGGTCGTGTATTTGCAAAATAAGGCGTTGACAGTATAAACAGATTGATCGAAAAAATAACAACAACACGATAATCATATAGAAACGTTTCTTGTTGGAACTTGTTACCGCTCAGGTAAATCTAATTTGAATTTAATATGTAAACAGAAGACCTGTATTCGTACATTGTTGTTGGTAGCATTTCGAGGTAACCGATATATACAATATGTACCAGTTCATTTCACTGAAAATTATATTTTCATTTGACTAAACACATTTTATTTAAATGTTGAATTATCCATAGAAGATTTATTCAATTGTTTTATTGTTTTTTAAAATATTATGTTGAAGTCTGAATCATGAAATATTGTTTTTATTAACTTTCAATATTGATTTGTGTTTGTGCCACTTGCTTCTTGACTTTTTTTACACAAGTAAATTAGAACTAGTTTAAATTTGTTTCTTTGGATAATAATATTTTTAAATCAGTTTTATTACATTTTTTATACAAAATACTCGAAATAACAAAAAATATGTTTAGTATGCATCTGCTTCACTCTATTTTAATTTCTGTCTGATTTCGATAACTGTATTTTCTTTTCCAAGGGGGTAGATAACTACCCTTGCAAATTTCGTTTCCAGTGTGAAATTCTTTTTACTGTTATATTCCACCCCCAACATAATTTCTGTATTTACAAATCCATTGCCCATTTGCCCATTTGTACATTCGTTATTGAATTTTACCGGGTTATTGTCGCCGGTATCAGTTGATGTAGAGTTAAAAATATAGAGAACTACCCCCTTCGCATACACAAAAAATGTTGAAATTTTCTTTGCTCTTACCACTTCAATCAAGTCACAAGTGCGCCAACTCACAACAAAAGTGTTTCATACTGAAAATATTTCCAAGATTACCATACTGTTTGTAAAAGAGATTAAATGGAAATTTCCAGTCCGGAGTGAAAAATAGCGCTACATTGAAAACAACAACCCTGTTTTGTTTTGTATGAATTATTTGGTGAACTCGTGTGGGATCTCAGCGAAGAATTAATTTGCAAGTGTTTGTAAAAAATGTATGTAGGTGTACATATGAAAAGCGATGCTAAAAGCGATGTTTGACAGGAAATTAAAATTTTTTAATTATTTATCATTCAGTTACGTACATGCGTATATAAGCTGACATATTTAACTTATAAGCCATATTCCCGATTAGATGGTAATATCAAGACAGACATATGTTATTGTGTAATTGTGGTACAATTGAACAGTGTACCAGAATTAAACAGTGAATAAGTTTTATAAGTTAAATTTGCAACACCATTGAAAATTATGTATAACAGCTGACTGTCACTGTACACAGCAGAAAAGTCGTACTAGTTAACAGAGTTCGTATTTGCGTACCCATGAGCGGCTCATTTTGGCTCATTCGGCTCACGGCTCATGAGCCGGCAAAAAACTCTTTTCATACGATGGCTCACGCTCACGAGCGAGCCCAACTACAGAGGTCACGCTCACGAGCAAGAGCCGCCATTAAGTTATAAATGGGCTCACGCTCGTGAGCAAGAGTATGAGCTGCGGCTCATGAGATCTCATGCGCCCAATTTAAGATTTTATTATTATTTTTTTTTGTGAAAACATGTCATTAAAAAAGATTTAAAATATTAATAATCTTGAACTAACTATAATATGGAAATAATCAAAGTTCTTAAAATAAACAATAACTATATTTGTATTGTTTATTTGTGGAAATAATAATATTTTATAAATTTGTTTTTCAAATTCAAATTATTATTTCATTATATTGTTTTAATATAAATAATAATAAGCTAAATTAATTTCAAATTATATATTTTCACATATAACGTTCATAAAAATAAAGAAAGCAAATAAACTAATAAATCACTTTTTATTAAACAGTTGAGCTCGAGAGCTCTCGGCTCATGAGACCTCATGAGCAGCTCTTCAATATGAGCAACTTGAAGGCTCACGCTGGTGAGCAGCTCTTCAATATGAGCCAATTTTGGGCTCAAGCTCATGAGCAAATTTTGGGCTCACATAAGAATTGGCTCTTGCTCATTAGCCTGAGCTGCTCATGAGTGAGCAAATACGAACCCTGCTAGTTAATGACTAGTATATAGCAGCTTACATATGCAGCTTAGGTAGGGCGATGGCAAAATTACAATTCAAAAAATGTAGTCACAGTGTAAACTACGGCTATAGTATGAAAAATCACAGAGCAGTGCGCTCAGATGAATCACGGATAAAAACCGATTGTTTATTCATGATGCTACAATAAGGCAAAACATGACATAGGTAACATGACTACACAACAGTTTTAGTGCATTACTACATCAATAAATAATTTGGCTAATTAACAGTGTATGATCGGTCCTCTTTACTTAGTAAAAAAAGAAAATGAACGGTTGGAGAGCATACAGTGACGTTAACAGACACAATTCCAATTCTGGGCGAAATCTTGAAACAGTCTCAATTAGCTTCAAGATCAATATCAACGGGGTCCATTAGAATATACAGATAGTTCCTCAAGGTATTTGCAAGTTAATGGTAAGCACTCTATCATATCATTTGCGTTCAAGAATGTGACTCAAACTTCTCAGAGGTCTCGGATCAACTCAGATAAATGGCTATTAAAGCAATCAGACTAATACTTACATTCAAGCTCACTTTTAAACATCTAAAAAACCAAAAGCCGAAGTTTGCACTAATATCATATGGATCAAGTTTTTAACAAAAAACAATTATGCGGTTAAACACTAAATACAAACTAAATTAAATCAACCAATATGTAGAGAGATTAATTGATACGATTAGCTGACAAAGTGGATAAATTTCAGAAATATTTCTGCAATACAAAACATTTAAAATTTTTCAAAGGTTCCTATAACTCCCTTCATAATACACTATTGTTCTAGAACCAATCTTTGAAGTCGTCCATAATTGTACATCAGATCTTCACTTGAGATACGTTAGCAATCCTTGGAGACGGTCACTATAACACATCAGATCTTGACTTGAAATTCTGTTTTACAATGCAATTAATTTACAAAAGACTTTTTCTTTATAGTGGACATCTGCCAAATATCATGTTAATATAGAATTGGAAGAAAATATCCTTTTTGAATTAATTTTTCAAATTGTTTGGAATAGTACAAATTGAAGTTTGTTAAAAAGTTGGTAATCAAGTTCAAATCCCAAAAAAAACTCAAGATTCCTACATGTATTTATGAGTATTAGGATCGTACAGTTAGCGCAAGAAGTTTTTAGTACATGGATAATATGGTGAGTAATGAAATCTCGCGTTGATTTTATAGGATTGAATAGTAACAACTATGGACAACATAGATTTGCAGATCTGTAGTTCATCTGCAGTTTATGCGCTTTGGATGCAACGATAAAGATTTTTTACTTCTTTAAAAGGCGTCCAATATTAAAAATATTAAGTATAAGATGTTTTGGAAAAGGCTTTTTTAATAAAGATGAGATGATAGCAGTATAAAACGATCAAAACGAAAATAATTAGGATAATTAAAATTATACAATAATTAGAAAATGCACTGAAATATATTATAGAAAATATATTTTAATAGTGATATCAACTTTTTCGATTATTGACATATTGCTTCCAAATCCCTATATATTCCTATGATCATATTTAAAAAAAAGAATGTGATAGCAAGTATTAGTTTCCATTCGTATTTAATTCTTTGAGCTCTAAAAGTTTGTTTACAACTATAGATCAAGCTTCACTTTTAATTATCCCACTAAAACATTTTAATCAGTTTTGAAACAGTTGCAAAAATTGTTATATATTTTAAAAATCGGACGGACAGACGGACAGAACTTCAGTATTGACAAAAAAGTTTATATACATACATTTTAATTCAAAGTTTGGCACACACAAACACCTTTAAGTACAGTAATAGATAATAATGGTCGTCCCTCAGTTTCGGATAAAGTAATCTATATCTGCATTACTCAACTAAAGAACAAAAAAACACCCGATTTGAAACTTGTTACATTAGCTGTAACAATAGAAAAAATGAAACTATCAGACTATCTCAAGAGTTACAATATAATCAGCTCGTTTTTTTAACATAAATCTGCCTTTACCTGCTGAAAAAATGTATTGATTCTAAATCCAGGGAATCGTCAGTATGTAGTTTTTTATAAACAACAATTTTAGTATTATTTAGAACTATATGACAGGATAATTTTTGAACAAGCAAAACTAATCAATAAGAGAGTAAATAAGTTAAATTAAATATTAATCCGTCACAACAATTTGGTTTTCAAATTTATCTCGCCAGCACTGAAGAAGTGCACAGTATCACTAACCTAATAGAAAAATGTTACAAGATAACAAAATTTATTCTAGTCTTTTTCGACATTTTACAGGTTTTTATCAAATGTGACAGAAACATCTGAATAAGTAAAGGAACTTTATATCTAACATATTTCTGATAATTATAATATATAAAAACCTTCTTGACTAAACATTTCATTCGTGTCAAACGAGATAATAAAGATTCTTTGCCGAGGTGTTCGCGATTTATTATCGCTTCACATTTGACGTTGACGATCAGGACCTCACATCGACTATTACCCGACGTTCATAGGCTCTTTAATACCTTCATTAAAAATATTATAATTTTCCCCCCACGGCTCCCCGACAATTGTCTCAGTAACAAGGATCTGACTTTTTGTTTATCTAGGTCACAGACTTTACAATTAACTTACTCCCTCGCTTGCTTAATAGCCCACCCCCACCACCTTCCTTCCACCTACCTTTCTTTTCTTTACATTATGCTCATGCTTTCTAGCTTAAATAAACTTAAATTCCTAATTACTAAGCCTCTTTATCCCAACTCTCTTCCCGAATAACAGAAACCTAGTTTAAGGCACTGCTCTCCAAATCAATGGATAGCAGTGCCACCTAAAAATAATTTTATTTTCTAACCTCTGAACGCGACTAAGCATAGCCAAATATGTATATTAAGAATTGTAAATAGAGAATTCTATTGCAAAGACACAATATGATGTACTGATACAAATAAAGTCCGAATAACGACAGTTTGAAAAAAATACACATAATGTACTTTTTTTATAGAGCCTATTTAAATTATTTTTTTGGTTATATATTATTCACTTTTATATTATTTTTTTTCACTCTACTCTACTCGTACATATCTTCGTTAAACATTATATGTACATACAATAACTAATCAAAAATTTTGGTATTTATATATCTTTTTATTAAAATTATTCCATTTACATAATTACAGAATTACAATTATTATAAATGTTACTACAAATATTAATAATATTTATAATTGGTTCGTGTTATCGAGTTTATCGAGTTGTTACTGTATTATTATGTTTCTTGTAGTTTGTTTTTTACTTACATTAATGATCTAATATTACAATAAAAAAATTAAATAAAATTTAAAGAGAATTTTAAATTCGTTAAATGGCAGATATCGTATTTTTAACTATTTAACACTTTAAACAAGTACATTAGCATTAATATTTGGTATTTGTTATTTTAAGGAAATTAAGGAAAGGGCTTTTTAAATTCTTTTAGTTCTTTCGTAATAAACTTTAAAATTATTTAAATTTTTAAAATTAGTAGTGCAGCTTATGTCGAGTTCTTTATACAGACTTGGCATCTAGATACTCGCTGCAGCAGACTACCGGCTTTGAGTGTGTCCTGTTGAGGACGTGAGAATGGTTCACCTTCAACAGTGACAAGCCAGAAGCTGGTCATTGTTTCATAGAAATGGCAGTGTCCTTTTCCGCCATTGCACTCAATGAATGGCGTTGCACGGAAGTCTTCTAGACATGAACCAGGTGAAGATAATGCTTGACCACCACCTCCATTTCCAACTGCAGTGTGCTGTTAAGTGATAGTTTTATTATAATCAGTAAAAATTTAATAAAAGACGGTAGAAAGCTGTTAAACTTACCATTAGGAAACTGTAACCGATCCAAAGTCCTTCCCAACCATTTGGACAATTTGGTATACTTAAAGATTGACTGTGTACAGCAATAACGTTAGCGGGTGCTTCGCACACCACACAACGTGAAATATATTTGCTGATTTCATAATTTTCCACTGGCATCATTGGCAGTGAAGCGGACGTTGAAAGCCAGAAAGTTTTATCATTTCTTGAAGCATAATTACAGACATTATTTTGTCCGCATGTAAGCATAGGCAGTGTAGAAAAGCGACGAACACATGAGCCTGGTGAACCTAAGTCTTGATTATGTGCAAAATCATTACCATCAACATAAAGTAAGGAATAGCCAGTCCATAATTCTATATGTCCACTTTCACAACGTGGTATTTCTTCAGATTGACTGTGTTTTACTAACAGTATACCAGTTAAATAATCTTGTGCAGCGGAACATGCTAAGCCTTGATCGCCTTTTGGACCAGGTGGTCCCTGGAAACCATCACGGCCTATTAAACCTGGCAAGCCTTGTTCTCCTTTTGGACCAGGACGACCCATTTGTCCTGCAAGTCCAATTAAGCCGATCTCACCCCTTTCACCTTGGTCACCCTTTAAACCAGTTAATCCTTGTAACCCAGGAGGACCACGTTCACCTTTTTGACCCTCATATCCTGGATGACCAGGTTCACCCTTTGGACCCGGAGGCGGTACTAAACCAGGTTCACCCTTTTGACCTCTATCACCAGCTTTACCATTGATTCCATCTCGACCTTTTGGACCCATGAAGCCTTTTTCTCCTTGTGGACCCATAGGACCGTTAAGCCCATCTGCACCAGGTATACCAGGATCGCCTTTTTCGCCAGGAAAACCAGGAGCACCACGGATGCCAGAAATTCCTGTTTCACCCTTTTCGCCCTTTTGTCCTTCAAATCCTGACTCACCTCGTTCACCTTTAGGACCAGGGAATCCCATGTCACCTTTAAGTCCAACAGCACCGGGAAGACCATCATTACCGTTACGACCGGGTTGGCCCATTGGACCTGGTTCTCCTCTTGGACCAACAGGACCGATTGGACCAGGTAAGCCAACTAAACCTGGCATACCATTCAAACCAGGCAGACCTTTTTCTCCTTTTTCACCCACTCGTCCATATATTCCTAATGACATTAAATATTCAATAAAGTGCTCTAAATTATGTTACATAATACTAACCATCACGACCTTGTTTACCAGGTCTACCAGGCAGACCTTTTTCTCCTTTAACAGCAATACCTGGTGCCCCAGTATCTCCGGTCAAACCTCTGTCCCCTTTCATGCCAGGGGCTCCGTTTAATCCAGCCATACCTTGAGGGCCAGTTAAACCACGGTCACCTTTTTGACCTTCGAATCCGGGAGCGCCTTGATTACCTTTGATACCCTTAATACCGGGTTGACCTATAAGTCCGAATGCACCCATTTCACCTTTGTCACCTTTAATAGTTATTGCCTGTGCATTGAGTCCAGGAGCACCAGGGAAGCCTTGGTCTCCTTTTAAACCCGGAGCTCCAGCAAAGCCGACAAAACCAGTTGCACCTTTGTCGCCTTTAATACCGTTAATTCCAGATAAACCGCGTTCACCTTTAGCTCCTTTCATGCCGACATAACCTTGAGGTCCTGGGGCACCGATAGCACCAGGAAGTCCGTCTAATCCAGGTGATCCCGGAGCACCAGACAATCCAGTTGCACCCTTATCACCCTTAATTCCTGGTGAGCCCGAATATCCTTGATCACCTTTTTGCCCAGGTAAACCATCATTACCGTCAATACCGTTTCGTCCCTGATCACCTTTTTGTCCAGGAGGACCATCTTGCCCACGTACTGCAATTCCATCGGCACCTTTGTCACCAGGTAAGCCATTTAAGCCAGGAATGCCTGTTTGACCTCTTAAACCAGGTGCACCCGGCTCTCCTTTCTGTCCTTTTTCGGAAGCATCTCCTGGAAGACCAGGTGGCCCATCAAGTCCTTGCACGCCTTGGTCACCTTTTGCACCATCCCTACCAGGTATACCATCAGCTCCTGTTGCTCCCATTGGACCCATATCACCTTTAGCACCTGTAAAGCCTGGTGGACCTGGCGGTCCACGTGGTCCCGTAACTCCATCAGCTCCAGTTATACCCCTGTCACCTTTATCGCCTTTCTGACCTAAAAATACATCATAGAATTGAGTTGTTTCAAACACAAAAACTTATTTTTACTTTTGTTTACCTGGTAAACCAGTAGGACCGAGAGCACCACGCTTGCCTGGAAGGCCATTTATTCCATGATAACCCTTTGGTCCATCAATACCAGGAGCACCGATATCACCTTTTAAGCCAGGCATGCCAACTATACCAGGATTACCTGGCTCACCTTTTGCGCCATCACGTCCTTGTACGCCATCAACACCAGGTTTACCGGGAGGACCAGGCGCACCCTGAGGACCTATAGGACCAGGGTCACCCTTAGAACCAACAAGACCTGTCATACCAGTAGCACCAGGTAAACCAGCGTCACCTTTTTCACCAGGATAGCCAGGAGCACCTTCAACTCCTATTGGACCAACTGCACCAGTTGGACCTCGATCACCTTTCTCGCCAATAAAACCTTGGTTTCCTTTAGGTCCTGGTGGGCCAGTAATGGATATGCCTTGTTCACCTTTTTGACCTCGGTCACCAGTTCTTCCGGGTGGACCATACAAACCATCTTTACCAGGATTACCAGGTGCACCTGATGGTCCTTGATTTCCTTTATCACCACGAGGGCCAGTTATACCTCTAGGTCCAACCTGACCAACGGGACCTTGTGGACCTTGGTCACCCTTTTGACCTTCCCAACCCATGTTACCTTTTTCTCCAATTGGACCAATAGGGCCAGGCATTCCTGGTTGTCCGCGATCGCCCTTATTACCCTTTGCAGGAACTGTCAACATTCCGGCGTCACATGAACCAGGTTCACCTTTTTGACCTGTATACCCAGCAGTTCCTTTATCACCTTTTAACCCATTTTGACCAGCAGGACCTGGTTCACCCTTAACACTTATACCTGGTAGTCCATCTAAGCCATTAATTCCGGGATTGCCAGGCGAACCATCAGTTCCAGGTTGTCCCGCATACCCTTTTTCACCCCTGGCGCCGATTTCACCTTTTTGCCCTTGCAAACCTGACAATCCAGCTGCACCACGATCTCCTTTAAGCCCTGCAGGTCCAATAAAACCGCGTTCACCCTTATCGCCTTTTTCTGGCACTATCAGACTATAATCCAAAATTGCATCTTTACCAGCTCGACCTTCAGGTCCTGGTGGACCGGGAAGGCCATCCAAACCTTTGCTACCAGGAGCACCATTTGGACCAGCAATTCCATCATCACCACGATCACCACGTAGACCAGGTTCACCTGGTGAACCACGAATACCTGGAATTCCCTGTGGACCATTTAACCCGGCATCACCTTTATCACCTTTAAGGCCTGGTGGACAACTAGAACATCTACCGCCAACGTCACCTTTAATACCCATATCACCCTTTTGACCCGGAATACCATCTCGACCTTTATCACCTTTAGCACCGGGACTACCCATTCGACCTGCTACACCCTGTCTACCCAATTTAGAATCACCTGGTAAACCAGCATTACCTTTAAAACCACGTTCACCCTTTTGTCCTTTTAATCCATCAGTTCTAGAAAATAAATCCATAAAATATTACTATAATTCTATACAAACATTATTTATTGTTCCATACCCAGGAATACCGTGATCACCTTTCTCTCCAACATCACCAATACCAGGGTAGCCTGGCTCACCTTTTTGCCCCTCAGGACCTGGGGGACCAGTATGACCAATTGGTCCAATAGGACCCATAGAACCAGTACGTCCGTCATTACCTTTCTCGCCTTTTTCACCTTGGGGACCTTCAAGACCATTACGGCCAGCTAGACCTGGTCCACCTTTTGGACCAGGTAGACCTGGCTGTCCAGGTGCGCCATCAGTTCCATCCAGACCCTTAGGTCCTGGAGAACCAGTATAACCTCGTGGACCCTTTGGACCTGGTGCTCCAGGTGATCCTGTACCGCCACCTGGCGGTCCTGGGGGACCAAGTAAACCTCGCGCACCTGCATTTCCGGGACGACCTGGTTCACCTTTTTGACCTGGTTTACCAGATAAACCGTTTAAACCAGTTTCGCCGCGATCACCTTTTTGCCCAGATGGTCCAGGGGGTCCAAAATTACCTTGTCTTCCCTTTAAAATAATTGATTATTATTAATTTATATCTGAATATAATTATGTTAGCCTACTCTGTCACCAGCACCACCAGGTAAGCCTTTTTCACCCTTCATACCATCACGACCAGGCTCTCCGGAATAACCTACAGCACCTTTTTCGCCAGCTTGACCAGCATTACCCTTTTCACCGCGGTCACCTTTTTCTCCAGCAATTTGTTTTGTACCCGTCAACTTTTCACGACCAGCAGGTTCGCCTTTTTCACCCTTTTCACCTTTTTTACCTGGTTGGGGTGGAGCAAAGCATGGAGCACCCTTTTCTCCTTTTATACCACGATCACCGCGAGGTCCAGGTGCACCATAGGGTCCAGTATCACCGCGATCACCTTTTGCGCCTGTAGGACCGTCAGGACCAGGAATTCCTGAGCGACCAGTAAAACCAGGCTCACCTTTCTCGCCTTTTGCGTAATCCCCATTTTCTTTAGCGGGTTCACCTTTCTCACCTTTAATTCCGGGATGACCAGGATAACCACGTGGACCAGCTAAGCCAGCAATACCAGCTAAGCCAGGCAAACCATCTTGACCATCACAACCATCTTTGCCAGGTATACCAGGAGTACCTGGATTGCCACTTACTCCTTGTATACCTGGAACACCTGCCATACCAGGAATACCATTTATGCCGCGTTCACCCTTATAGCCGCGTGGACCCAGTGGACCGGGATCACCTTTTTGCCCCTTATCACCAGGTGGACCTTCAGTACCAGGATAACCTGGCAAACCTTTTGGGCCTGGTGAACCTATGTCACCAGAAAAACCGCGATTTCCTTTTTCAGCAAAACATTTTGGTATACAACCCACAGTACCAGATGTGCAGTTTCTTGGTAATTGTCCAGTACGCACCTGAGTTGCTGTATCTATTATATCATAACTTTCATCTATTGGGGCTCTAGGAGGAGCAATTGCTTCTTCTTTGTAATGTACTCCAGAACTGTATATATTATTCACATCCATATTATTCCAAAATTCCTAAGAATTAAGTTAAATTCAAATAAAAATATTTTAAAATTTATACACGTTGGTTATTTTATATAACAAATATATTTACAGCATTTGATACGCTGAACACTCCAGCAATTATTGCGGCAAAAAGTAACCTAAAATATAAAATGTTGTTTTTTCATAAACTTGTAAATATACAAATAAATAATATAATAATAATTTGCAGTTTAACAATTTAATGCATGGCATAAATGCACGTTGAGAGAAATGCATGTATGAGAGGAAGTCATATATGATTACGCACTCGCATATAATTTCCTCAAAGTGAAAATTGTTTTTATTTGGCTTAAGAAGGATATAAACTAGGTTAAAAAATCTACAAAATTGTATTTGTAGATACATTATTCAATTGGCATGTATACGTATTTACACGCGTATGAGATGTTGATCTTAAGAGTATTGGTGGTACTGCATGTATTTGAGTGAAAATTATTGAGAGCAACATGCGCAAGCATTTAAGAGAAAATAAAGTGATCGAATGCTCACACAATTGCGAAGCTTAGCAAAGAGTAGTGCTCCTTGCTTTTGCGAGTGCTTCAACGAATTTAAAGAAATATTTTGGACAATCATTTTCGTATTTTGATTTTGCGAATTATATATCTTTAATGTCCTAATGGTTTTTAAGTACTTGATTTTTATAAAATAGCTTTAACCTGTTATTTAACAATAAATTATAGACTATATAGAATATTGTTAAATTAATATGAAAGTGTTATGTTAAAGAATTATGTTGAAACTTAATGAAATTTAATTTATGAAAGAAATTTTCAAATCTAATTAAATTCACTTACCGCTTCCACAGGGGCTCCATTATCCCCAAACGCTAGTTGCGTGTATTCCTTTAAGCTTCTTTGGCCAGATATTTCAAATTTGCATATAACTTCCTTCAATAAAAAAAATAAACTGATATTTAAAATGGTTTGTATTGATAAAGTTGTTTTGTATCACATATTATTTTTAAATAAATTTTCAAAATTTGGTAGCAAATAGTAATCATATTAATTAATTTTCAAAATATTTATTTTCACCCAAATATAACGGTTAAACACAAACAATAACACTGAACCGTCCGTCTACATACCAAAGTTAAAAATTTTATTGTGCTTTAATTTAACTATGAATAATTATAGTTTTATTTCATTGCTTACACTTTTTAAATATTATATATGTGTATTTATTAATAATTTACTTTGTGTTTTATTTAAAAAAAATAAATTAAATAAAACATTTACGACAAAATAAAAAACTTTATACAAAAAAAAAACATATAAAGTTTTTAGTTTTTTTTTAAAACCCGATCCACCCTAACTTTGAGGGAGCAATGGATTTTGTTTAAAACGATCCAACACTATTGATCGACTGGATCGTACTAATTGCTTGACTCGCAGTCAACCAACCACAAATACCCAAAGACAACTTCCACTTACTCTAGAAGGCACAAGTCGACTAATGAATGCATAAGTTTCAGTCGACTACATTAAGCATCGATTCGATTAGAATTCTTCATACATTTCATATACTGGACGGATGTTCGTTGCTCGCAGACAAGAACATAACTTACAACATAAGAGTCACACAAATTGAATAATGTATACACGCATACACACTCATACACACTCATTTGTTATTTGTTATACGCAAACGGAATTTGCTAAGTGTTTGAGCTGTATAGCTCTATAGCTCTATGTACGAACTTGACTATAAGCGAGAGCTTTTATCGGACTTTGTGTTGCATAGAAAACAAAATAATTTCATTTATTGGTTGGTATGTTCGTTATTACAATATTTGCGCCATCATACAAAAATGCTGACTGAGTGCGATCTCAACATGTACACATACACATTCACATAATTAAGAGCAAGTAAGAACTATTCTAGTTTACATGAAACATATTGCTTACCAAGCAATGTATGAAATCAGGCCAATACATGCAAAATTAGCATAAAAACTGGTAGTAATAATATGCGCACGTAAAGGCGCACACACAAACAATAATAAACTTATATGTATAGACATACATATATATTTATATATATATAAGTATATATATATATAGATATGTGTATGTGTACATGTGTGTTTGTTGGTTGGCATTAGGCAATAGCGATTTCAACAGAAAACATTTTACCCAGTTAACAATACATCCTCTACAATTTACATAATTCTTTTCCTAACTTATACAAGCATTGGAAACCCCCTTTCAGCATCTTAGACGTTTTATCATTATTTTAGAAACCAAACAACTACCAATAAAACTGATAGTCCTCACAAATTTACTTTATATGTGTGAGAAGTCAAGGCAAGCCATTGTAAAATTTTTTTCTTTCTTGTCGTATTTCAATTCTTCTTATTATTTTCTGTATGAAGAACAAATTTATTTGCTTATATGTGTACGGGATGTTCAAATCATTATGTGCTAAAATTGGATTAATTGCATTGATAAGATTTAATTTTGGTTGAAATAATTAAAATAAATTATTAAAATTATCAATATTTTGAACAAAATATTTTTTCATATTTGGACCAAAAAAAGAAATTTTTTTATAAGTATTTTATAAAATACTAAGTATTTTATTTTTGAAATAAAATACTTTTTGAAATAAAATACTTATAGAATTAAATATTCACATTATAAATAAATACCTTTTAAATAAATATTTAAAAATGATATGTATCCATATTTCGTATGACTTATTTTAAATACTGATTTAAACATATTTCATATGACTTATTCACTAAAGTTTTTTTTATATAAAAGTATCCAAAATCCCGGACTCTGTAGGTTTTCTCCATTTTCTTCAACCCACAAAATTAGAAATCGAAGATTAAAGATTAGCCCATTGTTCACAACAAAAAAAAAAAAATTAAAAAATAATCTTATTGATATAATTACAGAAGTATGGATCTTTTATTATAAACAAAAGGTTTCTATACCGGAAAATATTCAACCGCTTTTTAAATTAATCTAATCAAAAATTAAAACCTAATCATACTTTGGTTTGGTTATGAGGCGATCCCAAGGCGATCCCAACTCAGCGGTTTAAAACTGCTTTTGTTAAAGTTGTTAAAGTAAAATATTCTTTAGAACAAGGTCTAAGATCTTCAAAACAGGAGGCCCCTTAAATAGTAAATATGGCTCAACGTATGATCAGTAACAAAGCAGGCATGAGACACTCTCTCTCTACAACTGCGACATGAATGACTAAACGGGAGATTCAATCAGATTTAATCTTGCAACATGATTCCCTAATTAACTGTGACCCGTAAGGTGGGTCTTAAAAAAATAAAAAAAATGGTTTATGGTGTAATCAATTTAATTTATTAAATTAAATTTATTTACGAGGCTAATAACAGGAGCATCATAATACATTAAAAATTAAAGATGTAATGAAATGAGAATTTATAAATTTTAGACAGGAAAAATATTTACATTTAAAAACTAAATTATTAAATAAATTTAGTTTCGTAAAGACATGATAAATTTATTATATAAATTGAACACAGCAATATTAATGATTAGACGGGCATTCCATACAACTATTTTTTGTAAAATTTCTCTCATGACTTTTCTTTTTATCTTGATCTAATAAGTAAATAAATACCAGCATCATCTGCTCTTAGACTTAAAACTACTTCACAGTGGAAAGCTAATGACTCAGTTGCGTCTGCATTCCTACACTGAGTATTACTCTAAAAATATTAACTACATCTTTTCCATGCTCAGGGTTGTTGAATAAATTTGATGTTTATTTCCTATCTAGAGATATCTGGCTGTTGGGAGGTCCCTTACTAGAAGAGGATCTATTCTTAATCTATTCAGTTTTGCTTTAAATATTGATCACATTTCTCCTATTCTCAATTTTAACAGGAATTTTGATGTCGATTTTTCATCTAGAGACACCTGGTGATCAGGAGGTCTCTCATTAGAAAATGGTAAAATCATACAAACCTAAATAGTCCATAGTCATATTCTATAGACTATAGACTATAATCAAAATATTGGTGACAATAAATTATATTTTTTCAAAATAGTTTAAAAAATGGTGTATTATTTAAACAACTGACTATTCAGACCGTTCAAAGATATAGAAAAAAAATTTGGTTAGTAATATAATCAAATATCATCAGTTAATGTGCATCAGTTAAAATTATACTTTAGAAATCGACAAGTCCAAAACTATAGTCATAATTATAAACAATCAAATGTGTCAACATTGTAGAGTACCAAGTTCTTTACAAATGAAATTATTTAGGCTCTCTTATAACAACTACCGGGAGTTGTTGCAAAGATATAACTAAGTAAAAAATAAAACCAATTTAAAGTTTTGAAATAAAAGACATTATTACAAGTCATACTAATAATGATTTATAATGTGACAAATATTATATACATTATAAAATATATTAACTTGTTTTTTATAACTGTGATAGTCGGTACCTATTCATGTAGGTTACTATGTCGTTGTTGTGTAGGTTACTCTACATTATATAAGATAAATTGAGGACATCTCTTATTAATTACATGCGTTGAAAAGGCAGATGAGTCGCTAGTGTACTGTTCAAAACTCATAACATTTCCTGATCCGCCAGAAGCGATTAGTGCTTAAAGTTAGAGCTCTTGCACTTGGAGAAAATCCTTAGGTACTTGCTTACGGGTATTTTGGATGTATCTTCAAAGTACCCGTAATTTTTAATGATTTGATTTTTACGGAGAATACATTTGATGAATGTATTCGAAAATTGAAAATTGGGTTATATAAACTGTGATTGACAGCGTGTATGTATTAAACCACCGACTAAACAAAAAAAAAAAACGAATGAATAAATCGCCACAAAAGTAGTGGAATCTTTAATTTTTATCTTTATTAGGTAGGATTGGTAGGATTTTAACATACATTCTCACTTTTCTGCTAACAGACATAAATTTTTGTTTTCGGATAAAATTTAAAAATAATCTGTGGTTGCATTTGAATATAAAAATTTTGTCAAAATCCAGTCGGCGTAAACGCTAAATTATGCTCCGCGCATATGACAACCATGTGCAGTGAATGAATGCTCACTTAGCCTAGTCAATTATTCGATCCATTTGAAGATTAAAAACAAAACAATTTATAAGCAACCGAAATAACAACAATAACAATAAATCCAAACAAACCTAAAACAGTGATATGTGGTGTATGAAAATTTTTCCATATATATTTTCGTAATATCGCATGATGTCCTGATCTGATAAGTATATTGTTAAACTTGATAAGAGTGTGCATATGAAAAATTCTTATTAATATGCTTAGGTTAGAGAACGGGCGCATCTTTCGTGAAAGGACTATGTGAACAACGATATAAAGAAACAAGGTACTGCCAACTTGCAATAGTGAAATACTGGTTGGGCTGGCTGGAAAAGGCTACTGAATGCGCCAAATAACGACTTACATCTGTAACGGCCAACTAAATTTTGTGTGTAGCAGATTTATAATATTCAAGGTGCAAACCAATGCTTATCGACAAGCACTATAAAGTTACGTAAACACTCTTTGCTCAAATTTAGTTTTGTTGCTACAGAAATTAAATGTGAGGATATGGTTTTGGCTTTGTTGTTAGTGTTGTAAGTGTTGTTGTTTGTTGCTTTTTTGATAGATTTCCGTACCTACAACTATTCTAATATTTCGGTATAATAATTGCAACAATACATAAGAAATTTTGTTGTGTAAAGAAAATAAATACTTCTTTAAGTTTAATGTAACATAACTTAAAAAGTTTTGAGTTGTGTTTTGTGTAACGTTAGAAATTTGTAGTGACATCCGTTGGCAATTTCATGTGTAAAGAATATCATGACTGTCCATACTTACTTGATGTGGTCTTGAACGACTTTTATAGCTTTGAAAA